CCTATTAATTTCAATTTTACATATATAACTGGTATAACTATCAATCTATGAACAGCATACAATCCTTATTAGACATTAATACAATTCTAAAAAGTCCTATTGGACTAATCTTATAAGATAGATGTAATTCAAATATAATTGATGCGGTTAAAAGAGTTTTGAAACATTATTAAATTAATATTAATAAAATAGGTCTTTGGTAATATTTTTAGTTTTGGTAAATTACAAATAATTCCAAGTAAATATTTTTGATTAGTATATAAATTATTATCTGTCACCCTCGACACCGTTCGCGCGGTCTTAAAAGAAATAATTAGTAGCCTATGTGTTCGTACAGGGTGCGTGTGTTCTTCTATCCTACGTTATACATCTATTCCAAATTTCAGCGAGATCCATACAGCTGTTCTGGTTATACTTTAAACAAACATCCATCCATGCAAGCGTTCGCATTTATAATATTAGTAAGATATGCAAATATGTTAAGTCATAAAAAAGAAATGAAATTAAACATTTTATAAGTTTGCCTTTGCTAAAATATGCATTGTTCTTCTATGCATGACATATGTTTAGCAAAGCGCTAGCTATTTTTTTCACAAAAGAGAAACGAGTTCAAAAGAATAGATAATGAGGCGAGAGACCGTTGTTCTTTGAACTGATATCCGTGTCACATTGATTCACACTTGCCTAAAGTTTTCGTTTTGTTTGTAAAGAATATTGTAATAGTATGAGAAAATGCCATCGCTCGAATCATAAGTTTAATTTTCACATGCACGATGACTCAAGGTGTAACAACTTTTTTAAAAAAGTATACATTTTACACCTTTTAAATTTTAGAATACGAATTATAAAACAAAACACAAAATATGTTTCGATTTTGTTATATCATTAGTAAGATTGATTGATGACATTGATTACATTAACAATTCTAAATTGAAATTTGCAAACTTAATAGAACAAAAAGTATTTGCAAACAAATCGGAAGACAGTTCCAGTCATGTCAAAAGCCACAACACATCACTAGTTGCATGATGACTCACTTTCTAAAAAAGGCATTCTAAGCAAGGAAAAGTTTAGATTTAAGTTGAAAAATGAAAAGGCAAATAATTTTTAATTTTCTTTCAATTTGCGACAATAAGCAACTATCTGTTAAATGTGTTCGCTTCTTTTACGAAAGGTAGGCCCAGTTAGCAGATATGTATGCAAGATATGTTTCATAACAAAGAATTGTGAAATCATCTATTAACCTCACTGAAAGTAACGTCTCATTCATATAATTTAAATGCCTTAGGGTTCCTTGTATTGCAATCTTGTTTATTTAGTACTTGCGTTATAATTGTTTTTAATTAGACATATTTATAGTATTTAGTATAATTTTTCATTAGTCGTTTGTATAAATTGTCATTAGACGCTTATTATTCCATTCTATTCAATGGATAGTGTAACAAAGCGTAAACAAAGCGAAGAGTTGCTATAATGTTTCGATTAAGTAAAGCAAATATTAACAAATGAGTAACACAGTGTTGACAGGAATCACTGGTACTTGTTACTAATAACATAATATTACAGCGAAAATATCCATTGCCTTTAACGTAACATGTTTAATTTGTCTTGTTGTCTTTTGCATCAACTTTACATACTGGATACTCATACAGGAACATAATTTCAACATCACCGCTTTTTATATACTTTGAAGAAAGACTCTTCAAATGTTATTAAAGGTACAAATGTTGTGGAGTGTTGATAAAAGTACTGTCACTTTTTTTTTAAAGACGACAATTTTTTTTTATTATATAAATTTGTTTCGACAGTGGAAAACTCATTGTCAATTCCAAATGAAGAAAACACGGTAAGAGAAGTATTTGAATCTGCTTTCATTGTGCGTACAGTAAAAAGTCGATCAAGTTGCCGGCTTCAGTATTTCCCTCCAAGTACGACGTAGAGGTCTTCAAGAGTAGAGCGCATGCCATCTTTCGACCACTTAACATCAGGTGTGAACTTTGACATTAGTAAAGTTTCGTTACTTCTTTTATAAAATATTTGACGACTAATTGATAGAAGCACTATGAGAATCTATTATTAATTTTGTAATCAAGTAAGCAGTTTTATAAAGAACTAGATATCGAAAGCGACGCCATTTAAATACCGTTGTAGTTTTATAGCCGCATCCGTTCCTTGTTAGTTAAACGAGTGCTGCTAATCGCTGGAGCGATATTGCGTACAATCAAAATTAATTGCACTTTAGAAGTAATTTTATGAGGAGTAGCTTGAACGTGCTTCGTTTGTGTTGTTACCGGTAAAGAGGTGAACCGTTATAAACTTAGAATTTTATATTGGTATTGAAAAGTTAATCTACTAAAATTATAAATAAAGATAAATTAGTTAAAAAAAGATGTTTGGTCAAAAGATGAATTATTTCCATCAGTCTTTTCATGACCTAAAAAAAGGGTCTTGACAAACAGACGGACGAACAACAAAGTGATCCTATAAGGGTTCTGTTTTCCTTTCGAGATACGGTACCCCAAAAATAATGTTATTAAAAATTAATGAGTATAAAAATAGAAAAACATACTATAACTATGAAAACCCAATCGATCAATAGCTATCAATGTGATAAAATACTGCTATGACACATTTACCTATTTATACAAACATATTATAATTATTTCCAAGGGTCTTCCAACAATCAATGAAAAGCACACTTACGTCAGTTTGCGGTACTCGTCCACGTATTTCCATGCAAACGTACTCGATATACGTTCCTGTATAAATCCACAATTGGCCACCTAGATGCAATCTAACTACGAGCAATCTCTGTTGTCTTTGTGCAGAATATTACCAACAAAGCAATCGCTATATTTACTAATGCGTGAAAATTTGTTATTGTGTTTCATTTTTAGATGTAAGATGTTATGTCTGTAATATTGAATTTTTTTTTAATCTCGAAAAGATCTCATAAAATTTAAATCTAGATTATCGTCATTTGGTTAGTACAAAGCTCTTTGTGAAAAAGTTTCAAAGTTTACGAAAATTTTATTACATGCATAAACATCATAAAAACCACCGCTAAAAGATTTTCTAGCTACCGCGAGATGTGTTCAAGGCGTCCCGGCGCTTTGTGAATTGTTTCTTTTTGACTTGAAACACTAAACCCGTTATTTTTATATCCCTCGGGCACATAGCGGGAACGTTAAACGTTTCTTGTGGTAATTCACAATTTGTTTAACATCAATAAATGTAAATGAAATGTAAAAAAAAAAAAACAAAATAAATTAGATAAAACATACTGACCACAGAAAACACTCACACTGTGTAAATATTGATTTATCTTTTTTATTAATGGAAATTTCCATCTATCCATTATCTTATCATCTATTTTTGTTTGAAATAATCTTTGCGGTTTTCCGGAAAATTATTAATAAAAATATGATTATCACTACTGAGGGTTACATCTAGAAAAGTAAGACAGAACAAACTCTCAAAGTTTGACTTTTCAGTCATAATAAACTAACACATAACTTTTGGATTGATTAGTAAAGTTAGTACGAGATAGAGTTGTTCTCTTTACCTAAATGGCTTCCATACAATTTTTACTTCCTTGTAGCTAGTTTTTAGAGGAAAAACAAAGTTTCAATAATTAAGGTATATATTTGGTAAATTGAATTTAACTACAATGTATTAAGTATAACACTGAAAGAGTAATCGGTGATTCAATCTACAATATGTGGGCTAATCTGATCTATCGATCCGGAAGCGATTGACATTTAGCAGGCTTCATGTTCCAGATGGACAATCCAGATGGTAAAGACAATAATAGTTTGTTTTACATGTTTTGCAGCCAACCTTGATTTACATGTAAACCTGAAGTGTCCAACCTTAAAAACCAATGGGTTTAAAATAGAAGAACTATCATTGGCAACCCGAATGACTCATGTATGCAGGCTGTTTTTAATAAGGCAAAACTAACAGTAATAAGTTTATCAATGCTTGGCATTTTCAGTCATAAAAGCAAACACGCAATACAAAGGAGAGTGGCTTAAAGTTATTTACTTCTAAATAATTTATGTTAATTTTATCATGTTACTACTACTACTCTTTCAAATGCATAGCGAAATTTGTCTGCGGTTAAACATAGCTGCGTTGTCATTTGTCTCAGAGGAAACGAAACAGTAACCAAAGCGCTGCATCAAGTACTTGAATCTTCAACTATCTTTATGTAGGAAATTACGAGAAATGTGTTCCTTTAACACTTTATCTTCAGCTTTCTATAATATGCAAAATAGGGACATCTTGAGAACAATTCTTTTTTATTTTTAAGCAGTTTTTTCTTCAGATTATACAAGGAACATACACAGAACGTTAAATTAACAATAATGTTATATATAATTCTTCTCCATTCGTTTTTCTATATTTTCGTTTTTATAATTGTATTGTAATTTAAAAGTAATGACATCATTTTAATTAATGTCAAAATCATTTTAATAATTAACATTTTACTTTGTAAATAATTATTTCTTCCGAACATTTTGTTTTCACGTAATAAGACATAATTAAAATCATCCAAAGAAGACGTTTTAAATAAAAAGCATAATGAGTATAAAAACGTCAGTATAATTTATTACGGCTTCAAGATATCTTTGTACATTTTTATACAAAACAATAATTTTCATTAAGACTAATAATTACAATCCAAAAATTACATTTATTTTCAAATTTATAATTATTACATCTAATATCACGATTTAGCTTAATTATATTATTAAATAGGTACTCAAGCGACACATCTATGCCAATATAAAACAATAACATAGCAAACATTTATTCTTATATACATTGTTTATAATACGATTTGAAAGCACATTATTAAATGCAATAATATATATTTAACATAAGTAAATAAAATATATCAACAAAATATTATGTAATTTATATGCAAAAAAAAAACTACACACATAAGAAAACATAAGAAATTATATAAGTACAAATGAATAAAATCACTGCAACTTGACAGACGACAAAAAAAAATTATTACAAGACTTGATTTAAAATTATGGGTCTTACTTAATTCTCGTGACAATGGAGTTTTTAATTATTTTCTTAATACTATTTGGTGTTGTTTTACAGTGAATAATATTCGAATATGTCCATACGAATAAACTATGTAAATACAATCAATAAATTATTTTTATATTAAAAAAGTGTTATTCAGACTCAACATTTTCACGTGAACTTTGTACAAAATATTGTATCATTAAAATTTAATACACGTACTTACAATTGATACTTTATAGTTCTATTACGTATGCAAAAATTGACAAGAATTTATTTATGAGCTGATATTTATTTACAAAGTGTAAGATCACTTAGTGATCTGATGTATGAGGATTGTGCATTACAATAATTTGAATTATATTTATTACAAAACGTAAATACGAAAAGCATGGAACAAGAATCGCTTAATTTATCTCATACGAAATACGTGCGTCCTTTAGCCGAACAAGAGCCTTTTATAGAGCGAGGTGTGGTCGGAGAAATGTCCTCGACTCTAGAATAGACGTGACCACTACTAGGGGATAGCCTGAGGTCATAATTAAAACGAGAACATGTCCTGTTGTCGATCGACATGTAACTATTGTTAGAATCGTTCCCTTCACCGTACGTGTTATTATCAGAGGAAGGGGAACTTTCGTTGTGTGACGACTCTCCGTCGTTCCTTTTGCAATACTGCAATGAATTCGTAAAATTTGTCTTTGAGCAAGTATCGTTTGAGACAGGCATTGTGGTATACCTTAAAGTTGGAGTAGCCCGTAATGATTTCTTAAAAACGCTCTTTTCGGAGCTTTTAACGGTTATAATTGTGTCAGTGGAATTGAGCAAAGCTATGAATCTGTCCCAAAACCGTGGGTCATTCCAAGATAAATTCTTAAAATTATCTAATAAAAATCCGAGCTCGTCGTTTATTTGGTTGTTATCAACTATCTTAATGAATATTACCTTATTCAAATCGCTACGATTTAATGATTTTAAATAGCTATAAAACATGTTCTTAAAGTGAATGTCACACAGATCGTTACATATAAAATTAGTTGTGAGAATTACTAACAAACGTTTAGTTAATTTAGGAGATTTCGAAAAACTATCCAAGGTTAATATATTCAATGAGGATTCATTGAGTGATAGTTTTTTGGCGGTCATTTTTCTTAACTCTATCTCAGACATAATATTATGATAAGTAAATTGCGTATCTTTGGTATTGCATATCACGTAATAATCGTACATATGATTTGGATTTCCTTCTAATATATCCACGGTAGCGCACGACTGTTCTTTGAACAAGGGTACACCGTATTTTGTATACAACCAGTCACTGACGTCATATCGGAAAGCGTAGAAAATCGCACCTATGAGACAAACAAGAACAACAATTATTATAACACCACAAATAATTGCAAAATAGTTGTTAGGGAGAAATAAAGATGTCGAAATGATCTCATTTTTAGAGACATCGGGATCATCCATTGAACCCATGTAGTCTTTACAATGACTTAAAACTGAAGCGATAGTTATCTTAGTTGGGTTACCTTTGCTATCTGTGCATAGCATTTTTTCTGGGTCACCAGGATCTCTACGCAGCCATGAATCTAGTTCAGCAATACTTTTACAATCGCAGGAATACTGATTACCTTCTATGGAAACATGTGCAAGGCTTTTGGATGAAGATGCCAATAATTTCCAAGGGAAAAAATTTACAAGCTTATTATCGTCGATACGAAGAACCGAAAGCGATTTCAATGATGAAAAAGTATTATTGGCCACATGTACAATTGCATTGTGATCTAAATATAACTCGTTCAAATTATTTAGATGTAAAAATTCATCACCTTTTAATTCGACCAATTTATTATTTTCCAAATGTAATACTCTTAAAGAATCTACTCCTTTGAATGTTTGATTGTTAACTTCTTTTAATTTTGTATTATTTAAATAGAGTACTTGTAATTTCTTTTTTCCAATAAATACATGATTACCTAAATTACTTATATGATTTCCATCTAAATATATTTCAGTGGCATCCATAGGTATTCGCTCCGGGACTTCTGTATATCCCGCATTAGAGCAATCAACAACATTTGCATTCCATGTTATATCATGATAGCATTTGCAATTATTTGGACAAATCATTTCACAATCGCAAGCAACAAAATCACAACAATGACAGAGGGCGAAACAATGGCTATCGTAGGGACAGAGAAAATCAGAAGGTGACATGTCTATAATCATCTTTTTCTGTTTTGTACGCGAGTGTACGAGTGAACAATACGCTTTGTCTAGATCTAATACGCGCGGGTACTGTCGACTGTGGCTTAAATAATTAATACGTTGAATCCATTCCATTGAGCAGTCACAAACAAATGGATTTCCGCTTATAAAGAACTCGGGTAAATCACTATCTTCATCAATTTGATCTAAACGAAAGGCATTCATGTCAACCTGAACGAGTTTATTATTATTTAAAGTGACTAAAGAAAGTCTTTGTAACTTGGAAAACGTAGCGACTTGAATATGTTGAATATAATTATCATTTAAATACAACTTTTCGACTGTTTTCGGTATAGATGTTACTGTTAATTGACTTATATTATTATGGCTAAGATCCAATAGTTTTATATTACCATTATAATACAAGTCGTCATTTAAGAAACTTTCGATATGATTCTTATGCAAATCTAGCCATTCTAAACTATTAGGAAAACTTTTGAAATCGAATGATACTATTTTGTTCGCTGACATATTGAGCCAAACTAAGTTGTTAAGAGTAGAGAAAATTCCATCGAATGACGTTATCTCATTTCCATCCATACGTAGTAATTTAAGATTAATATTTTTACGAAAACACCCGGGAGTTACGTGTTTAATTTTATTTGACGCCAAATTAAGTACTTGTAATTGAGGTAAATGTTCAAAGGTGTCTTCATTTAAATAAGTAACTTTGTTATCTACTAGCCGCAACCCGAAAAGCTCTGTCAAGCCGCGAAAATGATCTCGGCTTAGGTGGCTTATGTTGTTGTTTCCGATGTCCAGTGACCTCAGAGACCGTAATTTGCGTATAGACGAGGGTATGGACGACATCAAATTATCATTCAATCCCAAATCCTCTATAGTTGTCATGTTATCAAAAGCATTTTCATCAATATGTCGTATTTTATTATTATCAATAAATAACTCATGTAGCACGTGCAAATCTGTAAACAGGTGCGTGTGTATATGGGATAGTTTATTGTGTGACAAAGTAAGGGAATGCAAATTTCTTAACTCTTCAAAAGCGTGTTCCTCAATACTTGTTATATCATTGTGCTCTAAGTTTAATTTTTGCAAACTGTTCAAATCTTGAAACATATAACGATCTATCTTTGTAAGTCTATTATATGAGAGATTTAAAATTACCATACGCAGTAACCCTACAAACGATCCCTTATTAATCCACTGACTAGTTAGTTCGTTATGTGAAAGGTCTAATGTTTGAAGTTGGTCTAAACCTTCGAAAAGACCAGGCGGCAACACGTTTATTGTATTGTTACTTAAAATTATTTCCTTTAGAGATTTGGTATCTGAAAACAAATCAGGCGGAATCGAATTGATAAAATTACTGGATAAATTTAAAACGTGTAAGCCGAGAAGTCCAGCGAAAGCTCCCACTTCGAGACTCGAGATAGCATTGTTTTGCAAAAACAATCTTGACAACGAACGAAGCTTCGAAAGACTATTATCAGTAACAACAATCAAATCATTGTAAGACAAATCAAGTGTTTCTAAAATTAAATTACAACTTCTTACACTCAAATTTTGCTCTCTTAACGAGTCTGAGAAACCAACAGTCTTTATATTCTGTAAGTGATTTTGACTTAAATTTAAAGTTTTTAAACTATACAACCAACAAAACGTCTCTGTTTTCATACTCCATATGTTGTTATCACTTAAATCGAGCTCGATGAGTTCATTCAAACCTGAAAACGCTTGTTCGTGGAGCTCCATTGTCATAGCGGACCATTCACTGTTGTGTGTCGTGACATGCAACCGTTTCAGATCCTTAAAGTTTTCGAAAGAACGCGCTGGTATCTGCCGTATCTTGCATTTGTCAATGACGAGATCTCTTAGTTTACTCAAGTCGCTACTTTTTCCGGAATTTTTGTCGGTTTGAGTTGCGAGTGTGCTTTCGAAGAAGAGGATTTCGCTGCATTGCACATGCAAGGAAATCAAATCGTCGAAATGCGTCCGGCTGATGTTCCGCAACAGATGCTCCAGACTGCTAATAGTTCGGATCTTGCAGAACAGCACTGCGTTTTCCGGCGCTTCCGCTTCGAAGCTGCGGTAGGCGCACTCATGAGGCATCTCTGCCGCGGTGCTCCTCTCAACAACATGACAATAGAATAACACATACACAATGATACGATTAAAAGTTCTTCCTTCGAGTCTATTCACAAGAGTTTGTTTTATTACCATTTTACAGTCTTTAGCGTACTATAGTAAGACAGCGAAGTCGGCTGTGCCATTTATAATGAGGCGAAGTGCTCGATCGCGTCATAAATATTCACGCAGTGGTAACGACATCGCGAATCGCGTGGCATAGTGGGGTCGCGTTAGTAGCGAGCGTGCGGCTCGAACGACGGCGGGCCACCGACTGAGCGTCGCTACGAGGCTCCGCCCCACGACGCCGACGCCCCGCGCCGCCCGCCCGGCGTCTAAGGAAACTTCATCTCATATGTATTATCAAGGGTGCATAAGCCGTTGAATTATTTATTCCCGTGCGGGTATATCAAGCGTTAATTATAAACAAAGGTCTAAATGTAACTTAATGTGATTTTTTCGCATTTTCTAATGGGCAACTATACTTTTTAATTAGTCATTATAAAAATAGTCCAGTTCAGAATGAAATGTTTATAGATAGTTAATCTTGTTATTAATATTCTATTAATCTCAGAATTCAAACACACTTTACAATCTACACATTTTTTAAATAATTTAGCAGAGTTGTCGTCCGCCAATAAACTATTGTGTCATAATTCTAACACGATCGTGCACAACTATATTTTATTTTGAATCCATAATTATCTATTCGTACCTTGAAATCATGTCAATATTGAGTTACCTATTGCCTTTGTTAAGATTATTTGCTCTATAATCTCTACAATATTCTTTTGTTTCTCAACCACACAAAAATGGAATAAAGAGAGGAAAACCGTATTCTCAAAATTTTTGTTATTTTTTGTAACTTCGCAACTAAAAATGAGCAACACTGAGTGCAAAACTGTATATTCTCGGGTATTTTTTTAAGACTAATACGTCGACATCAAGAGCACCTGTTGTGTTGCTAAACTTTACAAAACTTTTACTCGGCCATCCGCGAAAACGAGATAAAAGCCTCGCGTAATAGTTTCAGCGACACCATATGCTGCTAAAGTTAGCGTATTCACTTATATTAAGGGCCATAAAAACGATTAAGCCAACTTTTTTCACTTATTATACGTAGAGACTAGGGATGTTACTATATTCTGGGTTTCAAAATAAAAAAAAATAAGTAATCATACAAATTTAAAAAAATTATAAATCCGAAAGTCATGATAAACAGATGCATATTTGTTAGAAGCTATCTCCGGAACGGCTTAACGAATCTTGACGAAGGCACAGATGTAGTATATGATCTGGAAGCATACATGGCTAGTTTTAGGAATATTTCTAGGATTGTACGAACAGGTGTAACACAAATGCTTTTACCACAAAAGTGTAAATTGTAAGACTCCTTTTGAGATGAATTTTACGCAAATATTTGTGCATTGTTTCTTTCTTAAATTAAATTTAAAGCATCAAGTCTTTGAAATATTAATAATACGGCTATGAAATATCTGAATACAGTTAACACTGAAGAAAATCGTGTTTATACCATAAATATTTATTGAATTACATAAATTGTGAAACTACAACCAGTCCTCTAAGCAGTTCTTATCGTATCTCGATCGGGGATGAATTTATTATACTTCTATATGTTGATGATATTCTTTAACGAGAACCGATTAAAATTTATCGTATTCAGCCAGCAGTTTGTGCTATCACCTATTTAACATACGTTGAAACTAGCTAGTTGTTTAACTTATCATAATATCTTACCGGGACTATAAAACGAGTCGAAAATGCATGCACTTTATAGGACCGGATTTCAATCTTATTGTTTTACGGGCACCACTATTACTGAGCCTATAAATAATTCAATAGCATTACAAAAACTAAACAACGCTATTCAAAAGCGAGCGCGTAATTACTGAGTATCTGAGATGGTACAGGACTGGTCAACTATCTCACCCATGGGAACAGACGGCCATGTAATTGGCCAGTCGTAATTGAGATATGCTAAGCCTACACAAGTATGCGGCAATTTGTTGCTCGTCATATCCTTATTCCCGTTGGACCACACGCAGAACTCTCAACGCTTCGAACGAGTTTAATTTATAACGACTATTATACTTAAATAAACTTTTATGTCATTCTAAGCGAAGCTGCCGTTTCTTGCAAAATTAAATTATAGACGCGACTGAAATGACATTTAGTGACTAAGGTTTAAAGTCCCTCAACAATAAGAATATATGTACTTTTTGTTCAGTCTTATAATATGTGTAACTAAAATACAGAGTTCAAAGAAAGTGGGCACATAAAATGACAAGGTCATTTACGTCAACGATTTAAATGATGAAGTCGAATTGATTTATAAACCTACAGGTTGGTTTTAACGTAATTGTATCCACCGCTACAGAGCGTTCAGGGCGATTACAGTGTGGGCCGCACCGCCCCCAGCAATAATCGCCTTGTTGACTGCAATCAGGTGAGAGACGTGCATTATCGATTATATTTAATCCATCCCACGTGCTTAAAACACAAGCAAGAATAACCTAATCATTAAATAAACTAACCATAACCGAAAAATGTTATTAGTTAAGATTCTATCCCAAGAATGTCACACTTTGGTACATAAATACATACGAAAACATTAAATACGAATTAAAAACTGTAGGAAGTTATTATGTCCTCAGTAAAGGGCGAAAGCAGACTCAATGATCCCTATCCAAACTCATAAAGCTAAATTTCATTAAAATAACCGTGCACACAAAAAAAAACTATCGACATAATTTCTAGTCGTTCAGTTGTACAAGATGGCACAGCACTATGTACAAGAGGTAAAAAGGTTTGCATATTAAATTTGATTCGCGTGTTGGAACAGTTTATTTTTTGTTAGCACCGGGAAGTGGGGCCGGCCCTGGCGCTTGTCGTTATTAACCGTCGACGACCTAAACTTTTGATGCTACGGTCCGTTTTCACTAAGTTTACGAAAGAATATTAAAGATAAGCATAAAACCCACTTCATCCTATTTCCTATACATTCATATACAATTAATTAAACATTCTACCAGGATGGACAGCCAATGAAGCTAAAAAAGCCTAACTTGTAATACACGTAGGTCGAGAAAGCGTAGGCAGGCAACTCACAAGTTTTGCCAATAATACTGGATGTCGTAGGATATATAAGTGTACATACGGGCAAAAATTGTCGTGAATTCTCTATAAATTTATTTTTAATAAAATCATATCCACATTATTTCCAACGTAAATGTATTACAAAGTCAGGCCACTTCTTAAACAATATGCATTTTTAAATAGATTTCAGAACTTTGATATTTCAGATATGCATGAGATCTTGTCTCTTTGAAAAGAATTTTTACATTTTTTTGGACCGAGTTTTTATGACCTTGGTAAATATCACAGTATCATGCTATTACTCACCCGAACACATGACAAAGTAACATAATCAAGCCAAATAATAAATGGAAAAACAAATCAATGCTCGTTTATAAGACTTATTCTATTTTTGCCTTAACAGCTCCAATACAGAGAAAACCATACGACATGTTTTGACCTTAACAGGGACGCTAGTTATCTGTCATAATTTAGTGTAACTTATGTTCAGATATTGTTGTCGATCTATTCTTAATTTACTTTTGGCAAATGACAACAAAACAGTGTCGAAATATCTTGCACTAAATTAAACGCTAATAGCGCAGTGAAACACGCGGTTTCTATTTATGAACTGTCACTTCAGATTTCATGATGTAAACCAACCGTTTCTCATATATCAGGGCTAGAGATCTATGCATGAGAAATACTAAATCCAAGCACATCGTCGCCATTTAATAAACGAGACACATTGCTTCCGTTTTAATTAATTAAATAAAGTGACATATCCGTTCAGTATGTCGATAAATTTTATTTTATGATTTTTATACTCATAATAAACTAATAACAGCTGAATTTTGAGAAAAGGAAGGGACGTTAAAAAGAAATTGATGATCTGTGTAGGTCTCTTTAGTTGTATTTATGACCTGAAACTAATTTATTAACGTTTTTCAAATGATAAGTAAGTAAAAGTAATAAATAATAATGTCAATCTGTTACTTCAATGTGGTTTTGTAAAAATAGTCAGAACTTAACACCCAATTTGACATCCCCTCTCCGACCATGACAAGACTGTAATGAGAATTTATATTTTCTTTATTATAAAACACGCCCACTATATCCAGGCCCGAACAAAAACAATCTTTACAAATAGAGTGCCTCCCTATTCCGTTTTTGTTTACATAGATCTCGTCAAGATGAAAAATTAAATCGTCTGTCAGAATCGTATCCGAAATGACAACTTAACGTGTGGAGGATCTTTGTTGGAGTATACAACTACCAAATTAATTTTACATCATGATTACCCAATGTAGCATTTAAGCTTAATGCTTTAAGGACTTTATTCGTTTAACTATAGTTAATATGAGCGCATAATTATGTTGGCGTGTTACAAAATAAACATAGTGTAAATTAGAGTTGGGAGCATTCGGTACAATTAACATATAGAAGAAAGGCGAATGGAATCCGACAAGTCATTAGTCATGTTCTGGTGATAATCTCCAAATAATACCGTTTGTTGTTCGAGTTCCAGTCTTGTCACTGTAATAGTTAATTTTGGAAACAAACAAAAAGACAATCGAAATTCACCGACAATTATGATCGTTTTTGCCATCTGTGCTTTTAGATAATTAATATTTCAATGAAAAACAAACAATTAAACATAACAGCTCATTTAAACCTGCATTACAATAAACGTGCAATACTCGGTAGAATAGGTGATTTAACAAATAATATTTAACAAAGCTATCACACGGAGGTAATGATTAATAATATACAAAAAAAAATTACATTTGAAACCAATGATGAAATAAATAGAGCGTCGGTGGCTCAGTGGTCAAGCACTTGACTTGCAATCTGCAGGTCCTGGGTTCGAATCCCGCCATGTACCAATGTGTTTTTCGATTTCCGATTTACATATGTACATTTATCCGACGTTCTTACGGTGAAGGAAAACATCGTGATGCAACCTGCACATATCTGAGAAGAAATTCAAAGATATGTGTGAAGTCAACCAACCCGCACTTGGCCAGCGTGGTTGACTATGGCCTAATCACCCTTAACATAGGGTAGGCTCCGAGCCCCTCGGTGGGGACGTATAGTGAGCTGATGATGTATGTATGTATGTATGAAATAAATTCACGAAAAGATAGCAGCATTAATGCGCTTCG